TTGCTGTGGGACCGGGGGGAGTGAGGGTGTTGTTGGGCAACCAGGAGGTGAGTGAGGGCGTTGCTGGGGGACCAGGGGGGAGTGAGGGTGTTTCTGGGGGACCGGGAGGAGTGAGGGTGTTGCTGGGGGACCGGGAGTGAGTGAGGGTGTTGTTGGGTGATTGGGGGGAATGAGGGTGTTGCTCGGTGACTGGGGGTAATGAGGGTGTTGCTGGGTGTCCGGAGGGAGTGAGGATGTTGCTGGGGGACTGGGGTGAGTGAGGGTGTTGCTGGGGGATGGCAAAGTGTGTACTAAGGTCGTCTGAATTGCATCTTTCTGTGCTGCAAAGCTGAATGGATATCTGTCCCACTTAGGTACATCTCTTGTACAAGTAATGGAGCAAAGTATTTGTCTAGGGAATTTAATGAGTTATAAAATTTATCACAACCTCTTCTCTGGATCTGAGCCATCAAGCCTGTTGGAAGAAAGGATTTGTTCCTGGCACTAACAGATATGCCTTAGATACGGAAACGGATGAAATCTGTCTGGGTGTGAAGGATCCTTTCACTGCCAGAATCCTGTGCCAATGCAATTTAAATTTCATTCTGACAAACCTTATTACGATGAAATCGCTCCCTTCCCCCACTGTGGAGTTCAGCATCTCTTGTATCTTTGGTTTTACCAGATGACAGTGATGCATCGGAACAGGGGAACAGAATGAGGCCATTCAGTGTCTCCAACCTGTTTGATCATCACTTAAATCACTGCTGATCTTGCCTCTATCTGCTGTTACTGGTTCCATTTCCGTTTAATGTTCTTAGTTGCTTGGATGGATTTTGCTGCTCGGTTGGAACAGTAACGAACTGTAATGTTTTATACATGCTTATATACTCATTCTGCAGCGATGCAAAGTGTGTGATGGTTTTGCAGACATGGTTGGAGCCTTCCTGGGATCTGGAAATGTAACGGGTTTTCCATAGAAAGGAATCTAATTGCCAGCCAGTATTTTCTAATTTATAGTGATGCACACAGGAGATTCCCCTGTGTTATAAAATTGCTGGCATAGAATCACTGCGTGTTTTCTCAGAATCCTTCTCCCAGGCAACTGAGTGGATTTTTTTTTTAACCTCTATTCCCTCGTTGATGATGTGCAATTCTCACTGAAGTTTCAAAACGCCCACACACTCTTCAGGCGCAACAGCTCTGCTATCACTGTTCTCCTGGCCAATTTGTTTCTGAGATTGTAACTGAGTATTGCACTCATCATATTCAGGCATGTCCATGGCAGAACATTGAATGCTTCATCTACTACAGGACAGTCACATTTAGGGTAAAGCTAAGTACAAGTACTGCTCAAGTTAGATACCAGCTATTCTCCCCTAAAATAGTGCATCCAACACTGATGGCCGTTTGTTAGATAGACCCCTGCAGCCTTCAGTTTCTAACATGTTTTTCCTCAATTAAATCACTAACAAGGTGAGCCATCAATGGGGTACTATTAGAAACAGGGTTCTGGGAGCTAGTGGACCAGGTAACCTCAGGGTGTATCATTAATTGCAGAGATTTAAGGATGGGGAGCTCAACATTGGGAGCAGAGAAGGAGGATGAATTAAAGGGTCGATTTAATGTCAACTCGGGGACAGAAAATATAAGGAAAAAGCAAGAAAGATTGAATTTAGAGAAAGAAGAAAATAACAAAATTATAAACACAAAGGCAAAAGCTTCCAATCTGATATTTTCATTATTTCCTTCAATGATTTATTTTCTTGTTAGAAGGTTACTTGTGCTGCTATTAAGTATCTGATATCACAACTTATTATAGAATCTGTAAAGTGTAGAAAGAGGCCATTCAGCCCATTGAGTCTGCCCCAACCCTCTGAGCACTGAGTGGAAACGCACACAGATATGTGGAGAATATGCAGACTCCACACGGTCACCCAAGTGTGTGATCAAACCCAGGTTCCTGGTGCTGTGAGGCAGCAGTGCTAACCACTGTGCCACCCATGTCATTCATTGTGAAACTAAAGGTAGAATTGTAAAACTCATAACATTTCACTGCACACACATCCCTTATCAGATATCACTGTAACATTTACGTCAATAAAACTTGCATTCCATTAGCCTCACAGTTACCGCAATTGTACATAAAATCTTTTATACACTGTCCCCATCAAATGTTCCCAATACAATACAGCACGGGGTTAGGTACGGAGTAAAGCTTCTTCGACATTGTCCCCATCAAACATTCTTGTACAGGAAGATAGTGACAGTATAGGCCACTCATTCGTTCAACTTATTCTGTCACCCTAGATCCTAGCTTATCATCAACTTTAATGCCATTTTTTTCACCCTAGTCCTGTATGCTTTTATGTCATCAGTATCTGGAACTCAATTAAAATCTGTTTTGACTGTATTCATTATATTAAGGACTGCTGCTTCAACTTTTCAGCATACGTTGTTCTCTAGTTGGTTCCCTTGCGTGTTGAAGGCTGGGTTAATTGTTCTGGGTTTTTATTTTCACCCACCAGGGCAAAGGAGGTAACAGTTCATTAGTGACCCTATTGGTTGAGGGCCACGTTTGCAGAATTTCCATTCCTCTGGGTTCTCCCTCTTTTCAGGGCAGTGACTAGTGGGGTGTTGCTGCGTGTGTCTTCAGGAAGTGGCAATAATTATATCAATACTTAGTACTTCAGTACCATGGCCAGACATTATTTTTGGGTGGTTTATATGCTTGGGGTAAGTGTTGGAGTCAACCTGAGCAGTGAGTGCAGGTCTACGAGCTCTGATCATAACCATGCAATACTGAGGGGATGCTACACTGTCAGACCTGCTGTCTTTTAGATGAAAAATTAAACCAATCTGCCTTCTCTGGTGGAGGGAAAATATGGGCGTTCTCCCATGTGTCTGTTCAACATTAATTCTTCAAGTTTTTCTTTGGTATTTGTTCCTGGGATGTGGGTGTTGTTGACTGGGCCAGCACGTTTTCCCTAATTGCTTTGGTAGAAGGTAGAGGTGAGCTGGCCTTCTTGAACCACTGCAGTTTGTGCAGGGAAGGTAAACCCCAATGGTGCCATTATGGTGGGAGTTCTAGGAGACCCAGTGACAGTGAAGGGACAGCGATATATTTTCCAAGATAACAGGGTGTAG